TTTTATTATGTAAACCAAATTTCATTGTTAATTGAAAAATGATCAGCATATTAATCTTTATTATTTTATTAAAAAATTTCAATTTTGAAAAATTTTCGATTTGCTTGATTTCTGTTGACTCAACCCCATATATAGAATTTATATAATTAAATTAGGTATTAATTTATTCTTATTTAGAAATTAATATGACTATATATAGAAACAATGTTAAAACTTTAAATCTGAACCTGTATCCAACATGTTTAGGGATAGGTTTATAGTTAGGGTAATAGTTTAATCGAAACCGTTTAATCAAACTAGTTAGGGTTAGGGTTATATAGAAAATCGGAAGGTCTTCTTTTTTTTATTTCTAGGAGGTATTTAGTTATATTATATGTGAGATTATATTTTTCTTCGATATATTTATCTACTTCAATGGTATTAATATTAATGAAATTGGTATATTCTTCTAACAGATTCTCAAGTATTATATTATCGGTTTCAATATTTAGACAAAGTTCTTTATATTCGTGGCTAGTAGAATCTAAATCTTTAAGTTTATCTAATTCGTTTATTAATTTAGCCTGCAGGTTTGTAATTTCTCCGTTTAATGAAAGTATTTTATCCAAATTTTCGAAGTAATTATCAAAGATTTTTTTAGACATTTATTTATAAATGAACATAAGTTTTTATTAAAGATTAGGGTTATTTTTATGCGAAGTTTATTAATAATATACTTTCACTTTATTATAAAGCTCATCAGTTATTTTGCAAAGAAAAATACAGCGAAAAAACTACATGCTTATATATAAAATTTTCTACTAGTAAAATAATGAAGAAAAAAGTAACTAATTTCTAAAAAAATTAGCGCCGAGATTAGCAGCAGCTGAGATTAGCAGCTGAGATTAACAGCCGAAATCAGCAGCTGAGATCAGCAGCCGAGATCAGCAGCTGAGATTAGCAACCAAGATTAGCAGCCGAGATTAGCAGCCAAGATTATTAACTGAGATTTGCAGCCAAGATTTACAGCTGAGATTGGCCAGGATTAGGTTTAATTTGGTCATTTCTATATAAGGTTAGGGTTAGAGTTAGGGTGCCCGGTCAAGGATTCTAACCAGGGATGGTTGATTTGTTATGCATAGAAGTGGCCGTTGGGTAGTTTCTTTATTTATGGAGCTTTCAAAGGCTTCATTTAAAATAGAGGTGTAATTTTTTCTTTTAAATAAAGCATCATCGAAAGGTATTTTAAGGATAATAGGTGGTAGAGGTTTATCCTTTTTCTCTTCATTAATTTTGTTTAAAATGGCAAGGCG